TAGTTCGCGAGTGTCGCGGGCGCGATCTTTTTCCTCAGTCAGGATCAACGTTGCCCGCGAAGAAAGGGGAAACTCTCTGTACTCCCAATGGCGCCTCCTTCCAGAGTTCACGACCAGTGTGCCCATCTTCGCGGTCGTGATCTTCTGACTTTGGTCTGCGATCTTCTGGCAGACTTCGCGACCCATCTTCGCGATTGGAAACTTGAGCCTTTCAGTTGCGATTTTTGCCTTGTCTGGTCCTTCTTCTTGTTTCTACACATTTTGGCCCATTTTCTCCCCGTCTTTGCTCGTAATGTCAAATGCATCCCAAAACAGTATAATAATAAAAAAGGAACGAAATATGCATGCAAATGATATTTTGTAAAACACTTTAAGATCATTTAACACAAATTCACCTAATAAATGCAAGGTAACACCATTTTGGTCTTATCATCTACACATTCAATTTTTTGACAAAATATAATCATATATTGATCAGAAAAAAAAGATATTTACATTCTGGAATTTAACCAGACCATAAAATCAAAGAAGCAACTCGTAGTCGGGTACAAATGAAGGGTCTTCCTAGCCATCAAATGGGCTACCCTATTACTACGCCGACCTACAAACCGTGGGGGTTGGGACGGGTGGAGAGAAAATCTTAGACAAAGAGGGGAAGTGGAGGGGGGTTTATATAGGCCACAAACTGTGGGGGTGGAGACGGTTACTGTGGGAACACAAATTGAAGACCGTGAGAGTAGGGGGCAGTTTTCAATTTTCAAACATAAACAGTGCTGGGGGTGCGGTTTTTCACAGGGGACACGGATCGCTAAGTTGGCCGCCGGACAACCGTCAGATCGTGGGAGATATGACCACCACGTCCACATGGTTAGTGGGTGAAAGAAACGCAAACCGTGACTGCCCCTACGATCTGCGTCTAACCGTGACCCCATGCGGTTTGTATTTAATTTTGGTATAATTGGAATTATTATTATAAAATTGGTATTTTTGGAATTACTTAGTTTAGAGTGGTATTTCTGGAAAAAATCGTAATTCTTTCGGTTATGAAGGGGATTGCTATTCATCGCCCTAAAAATCCTTATTCGTCGTCCTAATCATGTTAATTTCACTTTAATGTTCTTAGTTATTTATTTGCCTTCTGAACACAGCGTCACCGGAGAGCTTGGATAGGTCGGCAACCCGTCTTCAGCGAGTATCGGGGGGGGGGGGGGGGGAAGCAGCAGCGGGCGGCGGGCGGGGGGAACGGGAGCGGCGTATTGGAGAATCGACTTTTTAAAAACTAGAGGGCAATGGCTATCCACTACAACAAAACTCATATATAGTGGCTAAGAGATTTTGTCTCTATAAGTCTATTATTTGCCTCTGTATATATTTAGAGGCAGATAATACATTTGCCTCAAATACTCCAGTGGCTATAGCTCTGTAGAGGCAAATATAGCAGCATATATTATCTGTTCCTAGTTAAGGATTTTGTGACTAATATTTTAGCCGCTAATGTCACTTTTATTATGCCTTCATATCCAATATTATCTGCCCCTAGAAGGATCTTTAGCGGCTATTAAAATTGCCTCCAATATTATCTATAGAAGCATATATTTTTGTTTCTAAACTTAGCTAATGAGGCTATCAAATTTGCCTCTAATATTATTTGTGGAGGCATATAGTTTTGCTTGTGAAATTATTTTAAAGGCTAATAGATATACTTTTGTATTGATTTATTGGATTGATTTATTGTAAAAAAATTGATTCAGAAATATTAATATATTGTACAACATTCTATTGATTCCATTAATATGATAATTGAACTATAGAGTAATGAGTGTACATAAAGATCGAAGAAGAGGGAAATTAGAGTGCAAAAGTGGGGAAAGTAGATGACGCCTAGCATTAGTGCTAATACACTAAATACATGTGCCTTCAATGATATGTCCTCTCCTGTATGAGTCTAGCGTTCAGTCAGATTTTCCTTCTCTTGTTCATGCTCCCTTCAATGAAACCACCATAGCAATATAGCCAAGTCGTCGGTTTAGAGCTCGCCCTCACAAATCTTAGCACTTCACTCCAGATCTGGGCAGTAGAGGTCTCGTGTGTGATAATCAATCGCCGCCCTTCTTTTTGCGAATTCGAGTGAAGGTTATCTGCAGGTAAGAAAAACAACAAAACAAATCACACACAAACGAGTACCAGCATAAACAAGAAAAGAAAAGCAACATCGTTCAGGCTACAAGCGAAGAGGGATGCAGACTCCAGTGAATTTGGGGTCTTCGTCGGGTGTGGAGGCGACAAGAGGCTGGTGGTAATAGAAGATCTGTCATCACTGCAAGTATCCCTCTCGTCACCATAAGCTCCCACCCGGGCGAAGATACTTCCTGGGAGTGCGAGTACAGTAGTTCAAACGGTGCGATTAGGGATTTGGAATATGTCACGTATTTTGATGGATTTGGCAGAGTAGTTTTCAAATATAGAGATCCAAATGAATCTAGAATCAAGACAGAGCTCATCGTAGATGGGTCTCAAGGATCATAAAGTTTTGTAGATCTAGCGAGGCTTCAGGGTTTGGTCTACTTAACGCCAACGATGGGGTGCAGGAGAGGGGGAGAATGACTCCGATGGTGAGGAAGACTCGGTGGTGGTGACGGAGATGACGCCAACGCCGGATTAGAGGAAGACGACATCGCCGGAGAAGATAACAGAGGCCCTTAGAATGTCAACTAGTAGAGGCATCAGAAGCGTAAGCGGCGTCGGAATCGAGGAGTGGGAAGCGGGGCGACAACGACGAGGAGGTGGAAGCTGAGCAACGATGGTGAGGGAGGAGGATCTGGCTGGATAAGGAAAAGAGGGTCGTTTTTGGTTAAGTGAAGAAAGAAAAGATTGGGACTTGGGATTGGGAGGGATCAGACATACGAGGGTGATGGGGGACAGAGATAAAGAGTAAAGTAAGAAAGAGAGTATTTGGGAGGATATTTGACATTTGAATAATAATTTGGGGGAGAGATTGAGCGGGTCAGGAGAGATCAGAGGGAAAATTGACGCCTCTCAAAAATTGGAAACTTTGAGGTTGGAGCCAAAAATTAACTATCTCAAATAAAATTACCAAATTTGTTATATATTGATAAAAAGGCTTGTAAACTATCAATTTGATAGTTAATTATTATTTATCAAAGGCTTGTACTTTTTTTTTTTTTTTGCAACAGGGGAGGCTTCACAGCCAAAGCAAAAAGAAATACAGGGGAGGGGAGATTAGAGAGTAGGATGTTCCCAGGAGAACGAACAACGTTCCTGGGGAAGGATTGACCTCTACAATCATCACCAATAATGATTTGAAGGGCTTGAGGAGGTGCTTCTAGATCGTACTTTGCCGTAGGGATAGACGAGACTGTGCTTCGAGAGCCAGTCCGCGACTCTATTCCCTTCTCGGTAAGTATGAACTAGACGCACCACCCAATCTTGAGCGATTCTCCGTCTGATAGCCGTAAGCAGGGTCACCATCGGATGAATGGGATCTGTCCTCTTCTCGATGAGTTGGAGAGCTAATTGTGAATCCGTTTCTAGGACCAACATTCTGCTGCCGAAATTCCACGCCATTCCAAGTCCGTGATAAATGCCCCAGAGTTCCGCATGCACAGCTGAGCAGGTACCTATCTTTGAGACAAAGCCTCGAATCCATCGGCCACTGCTGTCTCTCAGAACGCCGCCCGCTCCAGCCGGTCCTCGAGTTCCATTGGCCGCACCATCAACGTTGAGTTTGCTCCACCCCGGCGGAGGAGGAATCCAGCTGATCTCCCTAGTTATGCGCTCAACCAAATCTGTTCTTCGACCCAGGTTATCCTTTGGAGCCATCCAAGCTTGGTGCCAAAGATTGGCTTTAATTTTTATAGCTTGGACTAGCGAGGAAGGCGACAGCGTCTTGTTGGCTCCTTTAAAAAATCCCTTCGTTCCTGTTTTTTCCAAATGTTCCAAATAGCAATGCTGAAGAACGCATTCCAAGGCGTGTCAGCCACATGTTTCTCATCCTTCTGCAGATTCGCAACGATCCATTGGGGCAGAGAGCTGCTGAAAAAATCTTGCTGCTGCTCGGCTGGGATTGTACGAGCCCAGACAAAAGCTGTCGGAGGACAGTCTCTAAGGATATGTATCGTCGTCTCCACTTGGGCTTGTACTTTTTATTTAATATCGACAGTGGCTATTGTAAATCTACCTCCATAAATGATAAGGTGTTAAAATGAAAATAACAATTTCCAACGTAATATTATTTAGAGGCTTATGCTACTAGCTATAGGGGCAAATTTTAATCTGTTGTATATACAATAGTTTTAGTGGCAGCTAGTAATATCTATAGAGGCAATTGTACATTTGTTGTCTATGAAGAACTTTTAGAGGCATATAATTGTAGTTACAGAGGCAAATTTTATATATGTTGTATATAATGAATCTTTATAGGCAATTATAATATTTGCCTCAATATTTAGCCACTATAGGTAGGTTTTGTTGTAGTGATCAATAGATATTTAGGAACCACCATGAAAGTTTCAAAGAGAGCAGCGGCAAATTGGTTTTTGGCTGAATAGAAAAACCATAAAACAATGGCTATTTGGCTGGACGACATTTACTAATTAATGGATCATTACTAACCACCATGGGTATTTGGCTGAACGACAACACTTGCTAATCTCCTCAACAACAACAGTAAGTCAGGGGTTGGGTGAACGGCAGCATCGGCCGGTATTGGTATTTGGCTGTTGGGAAAGTTAGGGATTAGGGATTGCAAATGGAAATAGGAGTATAAACGTCAATGTAGTATGGTTTAGGGTAAATTTTTTATAATTTTAAGACGACGAATAGCGATTCAAATAAAGTACCCTTTTACTGTAAAAACACCACAACAAAAAAACATCTAAATATAGTTGCTGTGATATAAATGTTGAATTGTTGATGCAGCGTGCGTGGGTGAGGGTAGAGGTTCAGGTCTGCTCGAGGCGCCGGGTGGTGCTTTTAAATTGCTAACGCCACGTCGGGCTAATTGTCTCTCGACCTGTGTTGCCCGTTGTTGTGCTTCCGCGACGTTCACATGGATCAAACATATTCAGTACGTCCTGCAGCTGTAGGCGCAGCCCACCAATATATCGGGAGACCAGTTGTAGAGGAGACTCATTAGTATCGACCCACGCCAGGAAAGAGTAGAATTCCGTCGAATATTCGTCTACCTTGTGAGTACCCTGGCGAAGATTCTGGAATCGCTGGTATAATTCCCGATCAAAATTATAAGGCAAAAATGCTGCCCTCAAGTGCTTCCTGAACTTGCTCCAGCACGTAATCTTTGCCTTGCCTTGTCGTGTTCTGGTGAGTTTCAACTGCTGCCACCATGCCTGTCCGCGGCCGTGTAATCGGATCGTGACCAAAGAAACGCGCCGATCATCGGGAACTTCTTTGAAGTCCAGAATTTCCTCAACCTGAGATAGCCAGTTGATTACTTCCTCCGGCTTCATGTTGCCATCGAACTGGGGAATTTCTACCCTAAAGCCCTGTTCCCACCGGTGGTTAGGGCGTTCAGGTGACTGATTCCGCAAGTCTAGTGAAGGGGTTTTCGTCGATGATAATAACGTCATCATATTGGCGTTGCATCCGTACGGCTTCGTCCATTCGCTGTGTCAAAATCTACACCTGGGCGTCGCAGCTCGTCGTTGTCGCGGCAAACTTCGGCATTCTCACGTCGCAAATCAGCAAAGTCAGCATCCTTCGCGGTCGCAGCTCACGCCGTTCTGTGGGACGGCATCCCTCAAGATCAACCGGGCTCTCGATACCAATCTGACGCAGCTTGCGTGGGTGAGGGTAGAGTTTTACCGTAGCTCGTTGATTCCACGAATACCCGAGAGAGACGATATTTGCGAGGAACAAACTCCTCTTTTCTTATTTTATTCCAAATCCGAAAAAACTACCTCCAAACACAAAGACAGACCGCCTTTATAGAGAAGGCTAACAAGAATCCTAGTCCAACGTAAACAAAGAAAAGGTACCGACGAAAATCGAAAAATTACGTAATGGTCGTCAATAATAAAAAAAAGACAAAACAAACTTGTTACGTTGCATGGCTGCCGTTCCCATTATGGACGTCCTCGACGTCCTCATCAATTGTTGATGAAGGCGGCAAGCGGTCGTCACAGGTGAGCCTGTTGTTGAAGTTGGTCCTGTCAGTCAATAATAACATTTCCATCAGAAAACGTGAAGGATTTTTTTCTACTTTGGTTGTTGATAGGGGCCAAGGAAGCAGAACGCATATTAGAGAAATTTTACTTACTTCGGACACAAACAACGCATGGAATCCATTCGGAACCCTGTTGGGCAATTCAATAACTGCGACAGGATCAGCAGACATGGTCTTGGCATTTACAACAATTGTTGACGACTTTCTGCATAATATATATCACAGGGGGTTCACACTTACACTTACACAGTGAGAGACGAGAAGGACGGAAATGAATTTCGGTTAATTTGGGGCTTACCCGGTCAATTCATCGTGCATAAAGCATATCAGGTAGCCATCATCTTCCTCAGAAGTGACCCCAGGCACCCTAGGAACAAATACTGCTTCTGAACCATATCGTCCAGGTCCCAGCTCGAATATGCCTTGAACATTTCCTCCAACTTCAAGATTAGTCTTTCCCTGCTCCGGTTTCGCGTAAAGATCGAACTTGATGATCCCTGTGATCTTGGCAAAGCTGTTGATGGCTCCATACACATATCTCTGTTTCCTGCCAGTGTAGCTCTCATTTATCCTGGGGAAATCGACAGCTGATGCAGCCAGTTTCCTCTGTGAAGCAAGTCCGCTTTTCATGTTGAATCTCATCTCATGCCTGCTTGCAGCCAAAACAAGCAAACATTGAAAAAGCAGACGACTTGGAGCTTTCCAGGAGAATCATGAGATGAGAGCATGTCACTGAATTATTCTTACAGCTCGGTTGTGAAACTGTCAACTTTTTCTTTCGTACTGCTATTCATCATGTCCAAATCCATGTTTCCAATACGGCAAGTGATGAGCACAATATCATCTCCTTCCTCCCAAGCATTGGCTAGTCAATAAGAGAGAGATAGTAAACTGAGGCAGAGACAGACTAGAGAAGATAATGAGCCAAAGTGCACCATGGAAACCTCATCAGCGGTTTAAAAGAGTTGGCATACATACCATTATGGAATATAAAGCAGTTTGGCAGCTCAAACCATCTAATCAGAAGTTCATCCTTGGCATATCTTGGGAGAATCCCGAAGCGAGAACTTTTCATAGCATCGAAATGTAAAATGAAGCCCCTTTCTGTCAGCAGTCTCTGGTGGAAAAGCAAAATTGTATGCGATTTTAGCTGTCTAGCTACTTCAGTGCTCTCTTCCGAGGCAGCAAACCAAAAGAAATGAGTGTACCTTTGGTCGGAAACACAAAGGAAGATCCATAAAAATTGCATAATTCTCAGTGATAGCGAAGTCATGCATCATGATGGGCTCTGGTATGGTTATTGGTACAGGATCGTGCATGAAACCATCTTTTGAAATGACTCTGTAGGTGATATATGGTGGCTCAGTTGCATAGCCGAAAGCGAACATTTCTCCTGTATTTAGCAGGACATTGAGTGAGAAAAGGCTTTCCTTTCAAAAAAAAGTCAGTTAAGCAGGATGTCACCTGTGAATGGATCTACTTTGGGATGAGCAGTGAAAGCGTGTCCGAGTCTCTTGTCATAATCTAGCAAACCAAGGGTTTGCAGATCTCCATCTTCCATGACTTGAACCACATCTGCAGCATGCAATAAGTGAGATTGTCAACCCTACCGAAGAAAAAGAGAGCATCAAATAAATGGTTCTCCCAAGGAAGTCATTTGCTTTTCATCCAGTAAATATCAAAGGCAGACTGAACATGAAGCTTACAGGGTTTATCAGCCTCTTGAAGGGCCAGGAGCCTGCCATGGTGATAAACCAGAGCTGTATTAGCTGGAAGAGGGTATAAGAGAAGGTTAGTTCCGTTGTATTGCATGAATAATAAAGCATCAAGTATGAAACTCAAACCTGTAAGCCACAAGAGCATAATGTGCCATGACTGTGAAGAAACTTACCAGTCCCAAGTCCATACGACATGTCCAAGACTTTCAACTTCTCTCTCAGCATACGCAAGCCATAGGCGAACAGGCCAAAATAACCTTTAAGGTCACCTAACTGCAATTAAATAAAACACACGTATGATTGGCTTGCAACTGGTAGCTAAGCATGAAGGGACAACAGACCAAGACAAGATCCCACCTTGAGAAATTTGGCACCTCCATAAAACTCTTCCTGTTTGAGATGTGATGTCTTCACGTAGCGGCAAACATATGTTGCCTTTCCATCTTTGATGCGCAACCCATGAATCATTCTGCAAATTTATCCGCAGAACAAAAATCAGGGGGTGGGGTTGGGGATCTCATAAAACCCGTATGAGCATAACAGCTACTCATCTTCACAACATACCCATCCCCATCAAACCTGCACCAGACAGTAAAGAAAGAGTTAGGTAATCATATAATCTCTGTAGAAGACAATGCCTCAGAAGCATATGAACAGAAGTACAAAGCAAAAGATACGCATGCTGCAGCTAGAAGAAGACATACCAATGGTAGCCAGCTATAGGGGGGAACTTGGGATTAGGGCCAACCCTTACAAATTCGCCATTGAGGCAATCCTAAAGCATCAAAAGGGACATCAGTATTCAGAGAAACACGAAAAGAGAGGAGGGCAAGTTCAGAGTTGCGCCATGGGTCTGTTTTCATGTTCAAAATGTTAAAACTCTCAAGGCCAGTGAGGAGTGAACACAACAAGCAGAAGCAATTACTGATCTTCTCTACTTCACACAAATGCGAACTAAAAATCTCTAGCTTCATGTTCACGGTTCAAAATATAGAGGGAACTCTGCATGTTCCCAAATGGCGGCCACTTCATCCAGATTCTCAATGATCAACGTTGTTCTGGTCAAGTTAAAGCTAGTCCCAAAACCAACGGGGTGGAGGAATTAGATAAACAATAATTGATAACATCAAAGACTAGGGAGACAGCAGACACCGTAAGCGGAATCATTAGTTAGAAAACAGCGACTTATTCTAAATTAGAGGCTCACAGGGAGGTTTCCTTTAACGGGAAGATCAGCGGCAGGAGGCGTCTCATCGAGGACGGGAGCGAAAAGGCCGGCGAGGTAGTGAAGAGGCTGAGGCGAATCGTGGGCGAGCTTCACCGCCAATTTCTCCGCCAAGTCGATGGCTGTGGAAGCCAATCCGCTTCGGGGCTTAGGATTAACCTCCACTATCGCCGGGCCGCCTTGTCGATCATTCTTCTTCTCTGCCCCATCTTCCGACTGCTTCCCCATTCCACTTTGAGTGAAGACGACTGCTAGAGCCAGTGATGTAGCAATACCAGCAAGGAAGAGAGGATTTTCTGTTCTTAAAAAAAAAAAAAAAGCCATTCCCATATAGCTACTCTGTTCATAAAAGGACAAGTTATCTAGAGCAGGGGCGGAGCTAGTTGGGCTCCGGCGCCTCGGCGGCACCGGCCTCGTTCGCCATTTTGGAGCTAGTTAAACTTCGGTGAATTTTGGCAAATTACTATAAATTAAATACTGCATTTGAAACGTGAGATCGTTTATGTCTTATTGGTGAAGTTGTTCAGCTCCACCAACCCGGGTTCCGCATTTTCCCCCAAACACACATAAAATAAAATAAAAATTCTAAACTACCACATTTATAATTTTTTTTTTCCAAAATACCTAAGTTTGGAGTGATGGAGTGATTCGTGTTTAGGAACCCGAACTACTAACTGGTTCGAGTGTAGTAGACTCGATCTAGACGTAGATTGATGATGTGAGTCCTCGAACCATGTTGAGCTGAAGTGTTTCGAGTTTAGTGAACTCGAACTACTCTTTTAAAATATCCAACAACCTTAACTTTGTGCTCGGTTATCCGATCGTAACAATATTTTTTTTTTCATTTCGCACGTAACTTTTCGAGAACTACAACTTTTATAATAGAAATAATTTCAGAATATATGTGGAAATGTGAAAATTAAAATTAAAGTTATTCCCAAAACCCCTTATATTAAAAAGTATTCCTTTTTTGAAAATTTATTCCTAGTAAATGTTGTAGTACTAAAAAATTTATGCAAAATAAAAAAAAACTTTGCGACGTTTGGATTGCAGAGCATAAAGTTATGATCCTCCAAAGTTTGACAAATTCGAAAATTTGCTCGTTTATGGGTAGCAAATGACGTTTTCTCGGAAGATGGTCATCCAAAAATTGCTCGTTTGGAAAAATATTGCTCATCTGGCAGAAATTCCCTATGTATAAAAAAAATTCTCGTGCCTTTGCCCCGAGAAAACGTCATTTGTTACCCCTAAACGAGCAATTTTCGAGTTTGCCATACTTTGCAGGATCGTAACTTTGTCCTCCGCAATCCGAATTTGTTGTTGATTAACTTGCTTCATTAAGACACTCATTATCCTTGAGAGAGCAGATTTTTGGATTCACCTTGCGACAATTTCAGGTACAAACTTTGATCAGATTGAGATCGAAATTGCCAGATTCATTAACGATATAGTTAGCGCATCCTTGAAGCATTATGCTTAAAAAGAGCATTAAAAACAAGATAACTCTTGTAAGATAGTATAGTGGTAATGAGATAGCATCCAACAAATGTATGTGCGAGATCTTTCATCCTCTCGTTACATTACCGAGGTACAATTTCCTTGTACTACATCTTAACCCATCTCTCAAAGACATAACATTATGATGTGTCTAATTTCAGTATGATCCACTCTTCCCTTGATTTCGTCCCCACCCTCTCTTGATTCACTGCTTATTCAGTAACTTACAGCTTTGCTTGTTCTTGAAGTTGGTCCTGTACATAAAATAATAATCAATCAAGTTTCCAGTGGAACCGAAAGCAAGATGCAGATTCTCCATCAAGGTGTGCTGCTCGGAAAATTGAAAGCCAGAGGATGAAAGAGTTCAATAATAATTTGCTCGGAGTTCTTAATCCTTACCTCTGTGACAAACAAGGCATGGAATCCATAGGGAACTCTATGGGGCAATTCCACAACTGCAACTGGATCCGATGACATGGTTTTCGCATCAATAACAATCACAGCTGATTTTCTGCATGTCAAAGACCAAATAGGAGTGATGTAAAGTCTCCAGAGTTCGCATTCTCCAATGGCAGATGCTGAACTTCAAATGAATTAGCATGCAGAAAAAGTGAAAGGTATGAAGAACTAATCATATGAGCGCAAATACTAAGGTTACCCGGTAGTTTCGTCATGGGAAAAGAATATCAAGTAGCCATCATCTTCCTCACAAGTGATGCCAGGCTCCCTAGGAACAAATACTGCTTCTGAACCAAACCTACCCGGTCCGAGGTCAAAGATGCCTACAATGTTTCCTCCAACTTCCAGCTTTGTTTTCTCTGGCTGAGGTTCATTCAGGAGATCAACTTTGATGATTCCCGTGACCTTTGCGATGCTATCTAGAGTGGTACCATACACGAATCTCTGTTTCCTAGACAAAACCAGGGGGAAAAATAGAGTTCCAAACTTGATGAGCATTTGCGGTGAGAAGATATGAACTACTTATGCAACAATTCAACGACATACCTGCCAGTGTAACTCTCGTTGATCCTGGGGAAGTCAACAGCAGATGCTGATAGTTTCTTCTGTGAAGCCACCCCAGTTTTCATGTCGAACCTCATTTCATATCTGTTTAGGAAAGCAAAAGTTAACAACAAGATAGGACAAGGGCCTGACACAGGAAGGAAAGAACTAAGTCACATTTTGCCTACAGTTCATTTGAAAAGTTCTCAAGCTTTTCCTTGACAGTTCCATTAACCATATCCAAGTCTGGATTTTCAAGGCGGCAAGTAATCAAAACAACTTCATCCCCTTCCTCCCAAGCGTTGGCTGCTCATGGAAGAGAACGCATAAAAATCAGATGACTGCATAGGGCGGAGACAACCTCTAAAATGAAGCAAGTAAAAACTAAAGAATCCATGAAGGACCTTCATTTCAGGTTTCGTTTCTGTTCAAAGGAGCAATCATTGACACAAAGTAATGCCAGGACTAGCCAACCATAATTAAAGCAATTTTGAACAGTGCTCCAACATCCAAAGCAAAGTTAAGTAGGTGGCGCACCATTGTGAAATATGAAGCAATTAGGAAGCTCAAACCATTTGATCAAAAGGTCATCCTTTGCATATCGAGGCAGGACACCAAAACGAGCCTTTTTGGTTGCATCAAAAGCAAAAATGAACTTCTTTTCTTTCACCATTTCCTGAAAGAACATAATAAACATATTGCTTTCAGTTATATGAACAGCTTCTTGCTAATTAAACAAATACATCCAAAGCTAACCTTGACAAAGTACTCATCCTTGATACAAATAAGACAATAACAAGAAACTAACATTTACCTTTGGTCTGAAGTACAGAGGAAGATCCATAAAGATTGCATAATTCTCTGTAATTGCAAAGTCATGCATCATGATAGACTCTGATATTGTTATTGGTACAGGTTCATGCATGACACCATCCTTTGAAATTACTCGATATGTGACATATGGTGGCTCATGCGAATATCCAAAGGTGAACATTTCTCCTGCATGCATTGCACCGATCACACTTGTCAATACCGTTTGGTTGATAAGATTGAAGTGTTTTAGCTTTGAAGGACGAGCGCTACCTGTGAATGGATCAACCTTTGGGTGAGCAGTGAAAGAATGTTTGAGCCTCTTGTCATAATCAAGCAAGCCGACAGTCTGCAGATCCCCATCTTCCATTATTTTAACCACATCTGCAAGATGGAATCTTCATTTAGTTACAGCTTCAGAATTACAGAGGCGACAATGCAGAACTGGGCTGATCAAGAATGTGTTAAGATACAGATAGGGTGCCGCAGACTTACAGGGTTTATCACCTTCTTGAAGTGCTAGGAGCTTCCCGTGGTGATAAATAAGAGCAGTATTAGCTGTAAGGTCGATACAAGGAATTAGTCCTTTCAAAGAATTATTTTGTGCCAAAGTTATTAGATGGGAGCTCCTTTGAAGCAGTCTGAAATGAAGACTTGTGACATTAGATGCAGAACATTTCAGGTTCCAAACTCTTCGAAGGAGAGAAAATGAGGGGGCATATTAATATTCCGGCTGCGGAAGAGTTAAACTTATGATGCTACCTGAGCACTTCATGTTCACCAAGTCATAGACTGCCGCAGTAAAAAAGAAAATGGTCCAACACCTCTCGACTATACCACAATGAAGCATTCATGAAACGACTTAACATCATCAAGCTAAGAATCTAATAGGAAATGTTCATTTTTTGCATTGAAGAAAGGTAGGAAACCTACCTGTCCCGTTTCCATATGTCAAATCCAATATTTTCAATTTCGCTCTCAAGGACTGTATGTTAACCATAAACAATCCAAAAAACCCCTTGAGATCCCCAATCTGCAAAACAGAATTCCAAAAGCATCGAGTTAAAGAAACTCCACTGGCCTAGGCATGAAGGCAACCAGAATTAAATAAAATGTTAAAAGACGAAATGTTAACAAAAGAAGAGAAACTAAGCCAACTTCATCACTTCTAACTTGGGGGAAATTTCACTTTAAGTTATTTGTTAATCACACCATCACAATGAAAGGTAATGGAATGTTGATAAAGGGACAACCAAACACCAAACTATAGAAAAAACGCATTGCCATAAACCATTACCTTCATGAATTTGGGACCTCCATAAAATTGTTCTTGCTGAAGGCGTGATGTTTTGACATAACGGCTGACATATGTTGCCTTTCCATTTTTTATACGCATACCATGGATCATTCTGTACATGGAATAGATCATATAAGCATATAATACATATCTATCTGTCAAACCATATGCAAAGTACATGAAGAATATTGAATTCATCAAAAGAAACTGCAACGGGAGCGTACCCATCTCCATCGAACCTGCAAAAATAGACAGAAAATCAATGACAATCATTCGGATGGAGTGAATATCAAAGAGAATTCGCTCCCAGAAATCCTATGAAGGCATCAAAACAAATAAGGACGACATACCAGTGGTATCCAGCAACGGGTGAAAACTTAGGATTTGGACCCACTCTCACAAACTCCCCATTCAAGCATTCCTGTCATGCCAACCAACAGAAACCAAGTGGAAACAAGTGTCAAATTGGAAAATTCCATCCTCCTCTAAACAACAACGCAGCAGTCGATCGTTTCCAGGAAAACTTTTAAAGTCACAACTTAACAAGTAGCTTGGTTGCTTGCTTGAGCACCAATCAAGGAACTAAAACACAGAGATGGCTCCCAATTTTAGCTGGGAAAAAAAATTTCGCTACTGAATAATCTCGATGGCGATATTGTAGCAACTCATCAAGTAGCCACTTCTAAGTTCAAATCAACATAAGCAGTACCATTTAATCAGCAGAGCTATAAAGGATGATGGGTGCGGAATCAAAGCCATCGATGTAGACCGGAAGCAGATTACTTACCGGCAGATAGCCTTTGACGGGAAGGTCTTTGGCTGGGGGAGACTCGTCAGCTGGAGCGAAATTGCCGGAGAGATAGTGAAGAGGCAGAGAGGAGTCGTAGCCGAATTTCACGATCAACTTCTCCAGGAAATCGACTAGCCTGGAGGGAAACCCAGTTTTGGGCTTGGGATTCACGGCGACGATACCGGGACCGCCGTTGTTGCCATGCTTCTTCTCCTCAACCCGCTCCTGCATTTTCTCCGCCATTTCTTTGTCCGCTTCCACTTTGTTCACTGCTGCAGAAATGAGTGGAGAGAGTGCCAAGACATGGTGGGGTTTATATTTCTGCCGTCTGCTGGAGACTGGAGGATGCTCCGCCACGTGTCACGCGGACGAATTGCGGATTTCGTGGGCGTCCTGGAATTAGCGCTGGAAGTTGATACCAATATACCGATCAAGCAAGTGGGTTGTGGTTAGTGCTAGAAGCTTGGTACCGATATTTGAGATATACCGAATATAGTATTGAATTTGTTTATATTTGGTATTATCGAATACACGTATTATTTCTTGGGATTGAGATTCAGATTGAATTTTAATTGTAATTGGTATTAGAGATTACGGGATTGGGATCGGTATATACTGAACTACTGATCAATACCGAGATATAAGATAGTGTGTTTTTTATCCTCTCAACTAGACTTTCTCATTCACTACTACACGACCCTCGACCACCAAGAGTGTAATTTAATTATTCATAGATCATTCGATCTCTATTTCACAACTCAGAAATACCCATCCAACTCAAATTTGACTTTCCAATTTAAGTAACTCTCGTCTCTCACGTAATCACTTGTTATTTTCATAAGGCAAAATTCATCTGTATAGCCAAAACTTTGACGTTTGTGACAATAATAGCCACTTTTGGGGAAATACCAATAATAGCCAGAAATTTGAAAGTTTCTTGACAAATATAGCCATTTCCGTTACAAACTTTAACGATGTTAGAAACTCCGTCAGTTAAGTTAACGTTAAACTGACTAGGATGCCAAATCACCACACACGTCAGCGACAAGTCATCAATATCATTGCCACATCATTTTGATTTATCTTTCAACAATTCCATGTGGATAAATGAAAAAAAATATTTGTTTTCAAATAATCTTTTTTATCTGAACTAATTTTTTTATTTAAGAAAACTAAAAAAAAAAAATAAAAAAAATTATCTCACGTCCCTCTCTTCTCTCTACGCAGCCAGCAAAGCACCCCCTTCTTCTCAATTCTTTCTTTCAATTCCTCCCCAAATTGTCTCCCCCTAATCCCTACTCTAGATCAAATAACCAATCGATATTTATCTTCCTCTTCCTCTTCGAGCTTCTCGCTCTCCATCGTTCTCCGCCGGATATCTCGAGTACAGCCTACCAGGACCGCCGGAGAAGAAGATAGAGAAGGCGACGGCGGGGGATATCCACCCGCATCGACGACCGGCGACAGCTTTCCCAAGTGGAAGGATCCTGTATTTAGTCGATTTGGGTCAAATTTCAACACCCAGAAGGAAGGACGTGGGTGTTGTCATCACCATCGCCACCAAATCCCTAATCCCCAAATCCTTGCCATCGTCACCATCGCCACCATCACCATCGATCGACAGTGGAGCTGTGATTCTGGGTTGTTTTTGCTTGTTCTGGGGTTTTCATTTGGAAGAGACAGATGGATTCATTGGATTGAGGCGGAAGAAGAACCCCAAATCGAGTTCTCTGGTTCATCCAAAACCCCTAAACTGAAGGGACGAGGTCGGTGGTGCGGCGGAGTATTGGCATCTAAATCGTTCAAATCAGAAAACGCAGAGGAGAAACAATAAAAAGGGAAATCTTCTACCGATTATGAAAGCCGAAGATCTCCATCCACTGAAGGAGGGGAACGATTGTGGATCCCGCGGCCGCGGTGGTCAACGGAGCCAGGAACGATGTCGTGGTCTTCGAGTAAAGGGGCAGCAGCAACTATACCATCGGTGACCATCAGATTTTTCCGGAATGAGTGCTTCAGCCTTCAGTGGTAGTGTGAAAATGGCGCTGCGGGGATGTAAAATGCCCTGGGTGTTTGTCGGTGATGGATGTGGAGAAAGGCGGAGGGAAATCAGAAGAGTGAGTAGGTTGGAAGGAGAGAAGTTTATTTTATTTTATTTATTTTATTTTCCATAAATCAAAAGACCAACTATTTGAAAATATAAAATTTTAATTATTTTTTTTATTATTAAATCCACGTAGGAAATATGGACAGGTCAAAAATCGCCACGTTGGACGATTCGTTAGTCCAGTCAGCACGTTAACTAACACCGTCAAACAATTGGACGGAAGTGGCTATTTTTGGTATTTCGTCAAAAGTGGCTATATTTGGCCAAATCGTCAAAGTTTTGGCTATACAAGTGTATTTTGCCTTTTCATAACACCAAAAAGCAAACACTAGTATTAGTCATCTCTCGGCCTCCAATTCGTCAAATCAAAGATTACCAATGACAAGAGCTTGAGATGCTACCTCTCCTCCATTCTCCCTATCCATATCCTAGCTCTAGGCAAACTCAAGACTCTTTGCTTAGTCTCTTTTCCCTAAATTAAAGAATCAAATCTAATTTATATATTTAATTGTCAATTGCAAAGGTAATTAATTTCATGTTTGATAATACCGATTGAGATATCGAAGTACCGATTGGGATAACGAAATATTGAGGGATTGAGATTGGGATACCGAAATTATTTAGGGATTGGAATTGGAATTGATTTTAGGTGTAATTCGATATTCGAGATTTTGGTATTTGGTATTGGGATACCGATATCGTACCGATTTCCACCCCTAGTGTTGGTTGATGGTGTGGTCACTTTAGTACAGTTTAGCTTGGATATATAAAAAAATGTTATTATATTGTTAATATATTTAAAATTATATAAAATCTTATCTTACATATGAATAATAACATATAATAGAAGTGGCTAGCATGCTAACACTTTTTTTGTTAGCATGGTGCTAACACTTGCTCCATTCAATACGAACATTTCGTTTGGATGTCTTTTCCATTTAAATGAGTTGACCAAAAATTAATGAGGGAGAAGTGAAAAGAGGGGCACGATTGGTATTATGAAAAATTGGGGACGGGGATGAGGAACCAGTCATCCTTTTTGCATTAAATGGAAGGAAGAGAGGGGTGCCACTGAAGCATGTCAGGACCTCCTCAAAGCATGTCAGAACCTCAAAGCATGTCAGAACCACAAAACATGCCAAAACCTTAAAGCATGTCAGAACCTCAAAGTAGGCCAGAACCTCAATGCATGCCAGAAGTTTTTCAAAGCTTACCAGGAGTTTCTTAGTAGTGAAACTGTTTGCAATTTTGAAAAAGTTTAGGTACCAAAATGTAAGGGGGAAAAGTAGGTACTAAAATGTATGAGCTGACCCAACAACTAAAGAGAGCATCAATGGAGCCAAAGAATGGACTGGTTTCATCCTTGTTTGTTTGTGAAGTATGTGGAGAAGAAGGGCTTGAAGGATTCGACTACTATAGCCAAGAAGGGCGAGGACATGCATATGTCAATTATATAAATCAAGGCTATCAATTGAGATCTCAACAAGGGAGTTATCATCCTTATCAAAGATTCAACCAACCTCGCATACTGTATGGTCAACGACCTGCTAAAGGAGGGAAGAAGCCCAAGGACTACCCCAGAATCACCTCTTCCAATGGAACCTATGTTCATGAAGCACAATGGCTGAAGAAGTAAGATTCACCATGATTAGCAATCCACCTCAATGCAAGATGCAAGGAGAAGGTATCTCCAATCAGCAACCTACCATATTTGAGAAGCTGGAGGCAACAGTGATAGGACTGCAAACGAACTACAAGAATATCAAAAGACAACTTGGACTCCTCATTGATGCCCAACCTCAAAATCCTCAAAGCAAACTCCCGAGCAACACAAAGAATAATCTAAATAAGGAGAAGTCAATGTCATCTCGACAAGGATGGGAGCATCCAGAGTTTTCTGAGCATGAAAAAGGAAGAAGATAAGAAATGAGTTGAGAATCCATCAATCTTCATGAATCTGATAGAATCTTTTGGAGAAGCAGAAGTGACAGTGGCAATATTGGAGAAGATGATTTCCAAGGAGAATCTTAAAGGGAAGCTCGAGATTTTCATTGAGAAAGATGACAGGGTCGAAGATAAGGAGACCAAAATCAAGAAAACCTTTGGGGTTACAAAGAATTCATCCTAGTTAATGAAGTAAAGAAAGATCTCATGCACATCGTCATCAAATGTCTTATGGATCATCATCAAGTGGAAAAAGGTGTAGTTGAACTTGGCTCAAGTGTCAACATTCTACCACTACATAAATATGAAGAGATGGGATTAGTCAATATGGAGTATGTCAACGTAGAAATCACGCTAGCCAACAGTACCCCTTACTGAGCTCTTGGAGTTGTTCTAGGTTTAAGCACCCAAGTTGGCCTATTCATTTTATTCCTCGACTACCTTGTGATCGACATGAAGACAAGCAAAGAGTATTCGACCCTCTTAAGAAGATCATTCCTTGCCACTGATGGAGAACTAATTGATGATGTCAACGGAGAAGTAGCCCTACATGCATGAAAGTTCTTGTATAAAGTAGACAGGCGAATAAAAAGAAGTGACAAAATCGAGGAGTATCCAGACAATGAGATCAAATTTTCATTTGGCTCTCATCTTGGGGATTCGGCAAATATAATACTTCATCACCATGACCAAGACCCAAAGTATAGAGAAGAGTTGAACAAGGTTTCCCCAATTCTTGTTCTGAGGATAGCTCAAATGACACTAAGGATAGTCAGTACAAGACCAAAGATGATGCTAGAGAGGATCGAGGAGCTGGAGTACAAGACACCAGCGGATTATCAGGAGTTCATCAATTTTCATTAACCTAATGGATTCAAATATGTCAAATCCTTACAACGGGATGCAAAGATGAAGATGAAGTGAAACCTGACAGTGAAATCAATAATAAGGGCACCTCCCTGAGTCTAGCTCAAAGGCATAAAAGAGAGTGATCCATGGGAAACAGCCCATGTCTGGCGTCAAACTTAATTACTTTAAATAAAAGTGCTACTACGGAGAAAGCACGAATTTCTCTTTCCTAGATTAAATTTTAAATTTTGAAGCTAGTTTTTTGCTTGAAATTTTGAGTTACTCATTGGAGGAAAACATTGCATCCATTGGATAGGTGTTACATTCGGAGCAGAATTTTGATCTTATGATGAGAATGGAAGATTTAAAAACGTGAAAAATCGTATGAAAGCAGCTTTCGTACTATCGAGGTAAGTGTTCTTACGTGAAAATGCTGAAAACCATAGTAGAACACGAAGGGAAGTTGCGGCGGCCACCTTTGCCCG